TGAGGTGTGGGTAGCCGGCGCGGGGGGTCTGGGGCTCCCCCTTCCCCCTCCCGGGGAGGGGGGAGCTGCGCAGACAGCGGCGCGGCAGTGTGTGACGTCACACTAGTTTGCTTGTTTTCGGTTGGGGAGTTCTATCCACTAGTTCGGTTTTTGGTAGCAATTTTAACCAGAATAGGGGTTTGTTTTGGGGCGCTTACCTTTCTGGGTGCCTGTTCCGGTCGATGGCAGACATAGAATGCTTCCAACTACACGGGGGCTTCTATAGGCCATTGCTCCCCTTGCCTCTCTGAGGGGGCCCGGTTCTGGCCGTGGTCCCCGGTAGGCCTAAGAACTCCATACACATGACTGATGCCAAAGTCTGACATTAGCATATCAGCCTGGGATAGCTCCGGGGAGCCTCCGGGACTCACCCAGAAAATGGCGTTTCATTACATTCAACGCTGGTTTTTTGTCTAACCTCTCCTCGTAGCTCTTGCCCTTCAGTTCTGGGAGCCACTTAGTAGCATGTCTTTGCACCTTTTCCAGTTTGTTGATGTGCTTCTTAAGATATGGGCACCACACAACAGCTGCATATTCTAGCTTTGGCCTAACAAAAGTCATGAACAATTTCTTTAGTATATCGCCATCCATGTATTTAAATGCAATTCTGAAGTTAGAAAGCATAGCATAGGCTCCTTGCACAATATTCTTTATGTGGTCCTCAGGTGATAGTTTTCTATCTAGAACCACTCCTAGATCTCTTTCTTTATCAGAATTCTTTAAAGATTTCTCACATAATATATAGGTTGTGTGGGGTCTATGTTCTCCTATTCCACATTCCATAACATGACATTTATTAACATTAAATTCCATTTGCCAAGTGGTGCTCCATATACTTATTTTGTCCAGGTCTTCTTGAAGGGCATGACAGTCATCTAAATTTCTTATCCTTCCTATTATCTTAGCATCATCAGCAAACATGTTCATATAATTCTGTATACCAACTGGTAGATCATTTATGTACACAATAAACATCACTGGTGCAAGAACTGAACCCTGTGGTACTCCACTTGTGACATTTCTCCATTCTGATACATTGCCTCTGATTACTGCCCTCATTTTTCTATCAGTCAGAAAATTTTTCATCCATATTAGAAGTTTACTTGTCACCCCCCCAATATTTTCCAGTTTCCAGAACAACCTCTTATGTGGAACTCTGTCGAAAGCCTTGTTTAGGTCTAAATAGATGCAGTCAACCCAACCATCTCTTTCCTGTAAAATCTCTATGGCTTGATCATAGAAACTCAGTAAATTTGATACACAGGATCTTCCAGATCGAAAACCATACTGTCTGTTTGATATTATATAATTTCTCTCCAGGTGTTCTACCCATTTAGTTTTTATTATTTTTTCCAATATTTTGAGTATTACACTTGTCAGTGATACAGGTCTGTAATTGAGGGGGTCTTCATTACTGCCACTTTTGTACATTGAAACCATGTTAGCTTTTTTCCACATATCTGCTACAACTCCTGTATACAGGGATGTCTGAAAAATCAGCTTAAGTGGAATGCGGAGCTCAGGTGCACATTCTCTCAGAACCCATGGTGAAACTCTATCTGGGCCAACTGCTTTGTTCTTACTTAGCTCCAGGTGCATTTGTTTCACTTTGTCTCAAGACACCTCTATGTGCTCTATGCTGTTCTCTGGAATTCTTATTGTGTCTGGTTCTCTGAAGATCTCATTGTGTACAAACACACTTTGGAACTTTTTGTTTAATGTTTCACACATTTCCTTTTCATTTTCCATGTATCTATCCCCCATTTTCAACCTCTGAATATTATCCTTTACCTGCAGCTTGCTTTTAATGAGTTAATAGAAAAGGCCTGGATCTGATTTAGATTTGTCTGCTATACCATTCTCAAACCCGCCAAACACACACCGAAACTACGACGTTGGTACAACGTTTGAACAAGTTTTAACACCTCCTAACCAGTTATAACAACCAATATAGCAAGTTGTAACAACGTTCTAATACGACATAAACATGTTAAGTAAAGATGTAACAACTTTATTACAAGTTGTAACAAGCGGAAAATAGAGACAGTTACGGTTTGTGTTTCCAGGGAAGTTCCTCACTGCCTCTCTCCTTACTGACATGTAGTTGTTTCTTGAATCTTTGTATCGGTGGTATGTTTGGGGTTTGGTCTCATTCTATAATAATTCCATGCTTGTGTCATTTGATCTCTGGCCCTCTCTCAATTTCTGTTGTACCTACTCTGTTTCCTAGGTCTGCATGTCTGTTTTGGTATGAATGTTTGTGTGCCTTCATTGTATATTTTGCAAAATTTGATATACATCTCATTTACTTCCTTGCCTAGCAACAAGTCTGTCCAACTATACCCATGAAAAAAATTTCTAAGTTCCCCATAGAGTCCTCTCTTGAAATCGAGTTTAACGACTGTTTCACTGTCCCCATTCTCTACTAGATTATATCGCATAGTGTATTTAATGTCCAAGAGGACGTGATCACTCTTTTCCAAGGGAGGAAGGTACTGGATGTCAAATACCTCTCTTTCTTTCCTGGTGAATACTAGATCCAGTACTGACGGAGCATCCCCTTCCCTCATTCATGTGGCCTGCTTGATGTGTTGATACATGAATGTCTCCAAGATGAGGTTTACAAATCTGCCTGTCCAAATGTTCTTGCCTCATACACCTCCCAGTCTATTGTGTTAAAGTTGAAGTCCCTCAGTACCAACAATTGGGATTTATCTTTGACAGCTCTTAACATAATCTCTTTCATGACCTTTATGAGGCCCTCTTGTTTGTCATCCAGTTCTTTCTTTATGCATGTGTTGCTTGCTGGTGGGCTGTAGGCATTTAAAATTATCAGCTTATCATCTAGATTCCAGAGCTACAATGCCATTATGTCAATATCTCGAGGGTTTTCAAATATTAATTCTCTTACCTTCAGGTGTTCTTTCACCAGCACAGCCACTCCTTTCCCCTTCCTAGTTTTCCTGTCACGTCTCCAAACTGAGTAGCCGCTTGAGAATACGACCTCATTTAAAATATTTTCTTCACGTTTCGTCTCTGTTAATGCGACAATATCTGGGACTTTGAGCTGAATTATATCCTTCAACTCCAATATTTTCGATTTCACTCCATCTATGTTGGTATATACTACTTTCAAGAATATGTTCCAGTATGGTGTGAGACTGGTGGTGTCCTCTCCTGTCTCATACTGTTGTCCTGTGACTGGGGTGTGGAGAGAGGTACATTGTCTGACACTGGCTGGTGTATGACTGGTGCTGTCCTCTCCTGTCTCATACTGTCGTCTTGTGGCTGGGTTGTGGACAGAGAAGCATTGTCTGACACTGGCTGGTGTGTGACTGATGCTGTCCTCTCTAGGTCCATTATGTCTGCTGTCTTGCTAGTAGAAGCACGTGGTGAAGCCTCAATAGCAGTTTTTTCGGTGCCTACTGCACCTCGGTCCACTGTCCCTCCTCGTCTGAAAGTTGCCTCCATTGCCTGTTTCTCTTAGACTTCCCCATGACTCTCCACTTAGTCAGGACCGATTCACTGCCCTACCTAATGCCTGAGACACTCCTAGGCCTGGAGAAATTCATTCCCCTCCAACGGAGGCCGTAAAATGATTTCCCCAGGTGGAATCAGGAATACCTAACACCTAAATGAGCTGTTTGGTCTACCTTTCCCTGAAAAGGCTCAGTACACCTTCTAAGGTGCTCGCAGGGTATCGCCTCACCCTTCAGGGTAGGACTCTTAAGTGACCTGGTCAGTGATACCATCCTCACGAAAAAAAAAAATTATCGGACATGGGCGTTGAGAGTGCAGTACGAGAGTTTGGGTCGCCTGCGTACTGGGTTGCGCAGAATACCAGTCAGCTGGACAGCAGGTAATCAACAATGTTGTTTCTCCTTCTACTGCAGACAAAATCGGAATTGTTTCCTTCCAAACTCGATATTGTCTGGGTCTTGGAGTATTGATGTATTCTTCCTCACAAAACTGCAATGATTTGAGCTGATGGGTGCTCAGAATTGTAAGTTTTCCTGGGAACAATCCATGTGCGGATTGTTCCCAGCTAGCAATGGCGCCCGCAGCGTCAATCCAGCCTTGGTTGCTCACTCAGTACCAAGGCTCTCACACCCGGGAATGTTGCCCACAATTTTTTTTTTTAATGGTGTCTGTTTACAAGAGCCTTGAGGAAGCTGATGTGAACCCTGTGTAGCCATGGGACTTTTAAATCTTACATGGTACTCCCAACCATACATAGCAGTAGTGCGCAGTTCCGCGATAGTTACTCACTCCCAGCTATATCTGTATTGCGCAGTTTAAGGATTAAGGCAATGATTGTTGTAATATACACACATGTAAAGTAAAAGGAATTCTAATAAAAACAAAACAAAAAACTAAACCATTAATGCTTTATTGGGAGGAAAATATAGCAGATAAACAGTATCACGATTAACCACTGCACTGCGCAAAGCGCCTTTAGGCGCTCAGAGAGTTGTGCTCTTTGTTTTTTAATTTGGCTATATTTTAATGTTTTTTAATGTTTTCATTACTATTTGTGTTTTGAAATGGAAATAGTTGACTTTGGAAACATTTTGACATTAAATTTACCTGAACATTTGTAAAAATAACGAAAATATGTCCTTGACAATTGCACCAAGACGTTTTTGCCGAAAATAGGTGAGCAGTGCAAGGGTTAATTATCATTAGAAATGAGGGAGGCCCCAACCTTAACTAGTCCCTATCTAGTTAAGGTTGGGGACTAAATGTTTGGGGCTACCCTCACCAGGCTTTGCAGGGTAACTGGTCTTTGTCAGTATGGTCATAGTCAGGTCAGGGCCATGTCCTATGCCTGTGCTGTACCCAAAGACTGCTAGTGCAGACTTATTTTATATTTAAATTTCATACTGTCATGGCATTATCACCATGTTTCAGTAAAGTAAATTAATTTCAGTATTAAAATAATACTAATTATTATTTTTCAGGGTATTAAATGGTATCATCATTTTGGGAAAAGCCTGTAGCATTATTCAAATGGCTGAAAAACGCTGTGATAAAAATGAATCTGCATCTAATACTGTGGATAAAAATAAATCCAGCAAAGGTCCTTGTGATGGTACAGTAACTGGAAAGACTAGTTCAAAAGAAGAGCCTTTGAAAGTAGAAGCAGCCACTAGTCCCATACGGGGATGGAGTCTGCCACCTCAGCCCTCATCACCATGTCATAAACTGCCTTTCAGAGCTCAAGTTCTGACACCAGAGCTGACAACTTCTGCATCAGCTTCTATTGTTTCAACTCCATCACCATCTGCCCCGTCAAGGAGTGGCTCCCTAGATTTCTTTGGAGAGTCTAAAAGAGGACTTATGGCTAATAGCATGGTCAATCTCTCAAGTGTAGGAATTAATGAGGGACCATTCACTAGTGATGCATCAAGACAGTATCAGCTGCAACACTCTCTGGAAAGTATTGTATCAGCTGACAATTCAGATGCAGCAGATAGCTCTTTAGAACAATTACCCTCATCTGAGGAACAAACCCCTGAAATATTGCCAACAGCAGGCGACTCAATTGCTGCAGATATGACAGAACGTATTCAAGCTATTACTCCAAGTTCGACATCTTCGGAAAGCACTTTTTTTGAAGCTGAAACACCATCCGAGGTGAAAAAATGTAAGAGACGACCATTTTTGTCATGTGATTCCCTAAGATATAGAGGATCTTCAGATGCAGGGGATCTCCTATGATTTCTTGTTAGGTGCATTTAATATGATTAGTATACTGTATATAATATATAAAGTAATGTGCATTAAATGCAAAATGTTGGACTGTATTAAGTTAAAATAGTTAATGTGTCTCATTTTAATTATAAAAGGAAGTGAGAAAAGATAATTATTTTCAAGCCAGTCTATGAAAACCTGTTAAAGTAAACTTGCAATTTATTTTGCAGTATATATTTCTTTCATCATTGCTGTGAATGCCAATACAAATATTTACCCATAAGCAACTAATCTCATTGGTAATAAAAACGAGTTTATGTGAAATACTCACTTGATTAAGAATCTAACCAGTTTAGTCAGTTTTAGTCAGTCTCATTTATTTAGCCAATAAATGAGATTGACAATGCCCACATGCACATACTGGAGATAATTAAGTTAAATTAATCTCTTGGTAATTTCTTAGAAAGTGTGTGCTTGTTCTTATGTATACATGCATGTCTATCTTGAGGATATTATATTCTCAGAATTTATGGCATTATTGTTAACATATATGAATGATAAAATATAAATATACAGTACATGTTCATCCTCATGCAGTATATTTGTTTATATTTTATTCTTATGAAAAGAGGTAAAAGACAAAAATTAGCATCAACTTGAATATTAGCAATGGAGTAAAATTGTGTGCAGAATTAAGTACATCACACTTACAGAGATGAGAGAAGAGCAGTGTAGATGTGTGAGTGGGTTGGCATCACTTCTTGATCTTGGCCAAACAATAATGCAATGCATATGAATAATCAAAGTATTGTAATGTGGTGAAAGTGTCTTTATAGATGGAATAGAAAAGAGTGTCTTAGCTGGTGTTGTAAATAGAGAATAAAACAATGAAAGGGTTAAGTAAAAGTATAGTAAGTGTATTTGTATGATATATATATTATATATATATTATATATTTATATATATATAAATATATATAATATATATATATATATATATATATATATATATATATATATATATATATATATATATATATATATAATATATATATATATATATATATATATACTATATATATAATATATATATATATATATATATATATATATATATATATATATATATATATATATATATATATATATATATATATATATATATATATACACCGTGTGTGTGTGTGTGTGTGTTTTATATATATAAATATATTATGTTTTAGTTATATATAATATATATATATATATATATATATATATATATATATATATATATATATATATATATATATATATATATATATATATATATATATATATTAATTAGAAGATAGGAGTGACAATTTCCAACTACCTGCAAGGAGTGCATCAGTGACAAGAGGAGGTGGTAAGGTTGTTGGCTTATTTGTTTATTTTATTATTGTATAATTGTTTTCCTTATCACTGGTATACATTTACTGTGTCCTCCTGCTAAAAGTTATGTTATACAGTATATACTATGTACTTGATCACAGCTTTCTCATATTGAGAGTTTTGTTCCTAGATGGTAAGGAAATAGAGTCCACATGGAAAAAAAATTATCCCATAAATATTTGAGTTTTATTGCCATAAATATTTGTAAAGATGAATGTTTTAGTCCTTGCTGAAATTTATTTAAGTTGTTTATCAACCAAATTAAACAGATACGTAAACCTTTTACACACTCCTTCCATTTCAGAGTTTATATTATCTGGCTGAGCTGGTTGAATTATGACTAATACATTTGTGAAGATGTGAAACCTGTCATTTATGGATGATGTACTACACTAACCAAAAGTTCATATTAGTTTTATCACTACAGTACAGAATTGTAAGGTTATGTACGTGGTCACGTAGTAGTAGAGAATTCAGTATTTTATTTTACACTGCTAAAATGCGGCTGTTCAATATGTGCCTGTTTTGATTGCATATGTAAAGGTTTCTTATTTGAGCTTGAGATGGATTTTCTTAATTGAATCATATAATTTTATCAGTTTTATTCAGTGTGTTTATTTTGCCTACAGATAATTATAACTTTCCCTGTACCATAGTTTAAACATAATATTTATATGAATATGTAACATTACTTAATTACGTAATTAGTTTTTCTCCCAAAACAGTGATGGACTGCATATACAATGTTTTCATATGGGCAGAGAACCTTGTAACATATTTGACTGATCTGCTTTTTGAACATGTTTCATAATCATATGTAAAAATCTTACATAAATATTAACAAATTACCAACATATTATGTATTCAGTGTAGGAGTGTTATATAGAGTGAAACTAAAGGAAAAATAGATGAATGCATTAAAGAACAGAGTTGCATGAAAATATTGATTTGAGGGCTGGTACTGTATAGTGATGATATTTGAGAGATGAACAATTTATAATTCTGTACAAATGTTTAAAACCAGTAGCTGTTTGGAGGATAAATGGCAAACCATCCACTTTCCCCATAAAAGTTCATAAATTCATTTTGTTCATTAATTTAATTATACTGGATTCTATAATTGAGAATTGCACATAATTTTGTAACAGAAATACTGGTTTCAGCTAGGAGTAAAGTGTTTACTTTTGTTACTCTTATATACTGGTACTGCATTTATCTGTTTATTATTGAAAAGGTGTGAAGATTTACCATGTTCAATAATTCTGTGAATCATGAGACATTAAGCATAGGTTTAGACATAAAAATTGTAGAATTATTTTGATCAGTGTGGGATGACAAAACAGATGACCATTTTGATTTCATTAATCCTTAGATAAGGGCTTAGGTTATGACATGAGGGTTCACCTGAGCTGAAGCCGAGTTATATCATATACAGTAATGTATGTCACTTTAGAAATTTAAGGAAATTAAGATTTGCTTATCAGTCTTCATAATTAGCATGATTTTACATCTATTTGGCTATTATTGGCAAATAAAATTATAAGCTTTATTATACATTAAATCTCACTGATTATAAAAACTTTGGAGCATGTGGCACCATTGTGCCCAAAAATTTGTGTTCAAAATATTAAGTTTAAGATCATTGTTGGTATTTTTTTTATTTGCCCATATTTTATGTTTTCCCAGAATCCTACAAGAAATGAAAACTTAAAATTAATGTGTATTTCCTTATCCAAATTTCAGAAACTGATATCAGTATGAGAATATAATTAATTAAAAAAAATTTGTATATACTGTACTAGTAAGTTCTGTATATGGATTTTTGTAAATAGTTTTTTGTAATTGTTTAAACATTGGCAAAGATAACTTATAAATTATTTGAAACAAATATTTTAAGACATGTACTGTGGTAACCCATGGCCGAGACAGTTATGCCCTTCGAGGCTTCAACAAATATACAAAATGTTCATAATTAATGGAAGGACTGTGGTGCATGACGTACCATTTCTTACATGAATTAAATATTAACAGAATTGTTTCCATTTTGTAGTATGTGAGAATGTTGTGTCATATTCTGGGAGGGTCCCCATAATAGCTCCCCCATTCTTCAAGTGCTGATCTAGCCAAGCATTTGGGATGTTTACTACACCTCATGAGACCCACTCTTGCCTACCAGGAACCAAGACCAAAATGTGGTTCTCTTTATGAGGGGAGAGATGCTTGCAGAACACAGATTAGCCCAAAACTTAAAAGAACTTCCACTAGAAATCATTAGTGCAATAAAAGGTACTGAAAAATATTGAGGATTGTGGGTACCAGCTGCTGCCTTCCGGACTCCAAATCTAGTAGAACTAATGAGTGAGACACTTTTAAGCTCGTCATGGTTCAATAGGTAGTGTGTGCGTATCGTAGAAAGAGCAACACTCAGATTCTGATTCCTGATAGACAAGAATGGGTCTTTGATGCCCAGTGTATTGATTTCTTACTATTTATATTTTCTTTCAGCATCTCTACATGGCACTCCCCAGTAAAAGCACTTCCAATGTGACTTTCAGCCTGTATGCTTGTAATTAAAATTATTTCTGGAGATCCTGTTGTAGCAGTGATAAAGCTGAAGGTTTAGAGATCCTGTGGCAGCAGTGGTAATAAAACCTACAAGCTGTGGAGGTCCTGTTGTGACAGGGATAAAGATTAAGGTTTTGGAGGTCCTGGTGTAACATTGATAAAGCTGCCCAGGTTTTGGGTTTGAGAGCTGTAATATACGTTGTATGGTATGAATATTAATTGTACATAATGGGTACTTATTTTTTGTCCTATAGTGTACTTTATTGTTAATATTCAGTACAAAAATGACAAATACTTTATAAAGAAATAGGCTTCTGATTTTATCTCAAAATATATATTTCTAATGTTCAACCATTTTATGTACATGTCAGTAGGAAGTAACATCTGTATTTTGTTCTAGTCTATTTTATAAGTGGTCAGAAATGTTGAGCAACATTGCTAATAAATCTAACTAAACTAGAGCTTTTCTTGTTTAGGTGTGTGTGTGTGTGTATGTATGTATGTATGTATGTATGTATTTATAGGGACAGGATGTGCCCAACCATTTCTCTCCCTCCAGGGATTTGAGCCCAGGATTCCCAATTATGAATTGAAAACGAACCTAATTGTACTATATATATATATATATATATATATATATATATATATATATATATATATATATATATATATATATATATATATATATATATATATATATTGCACAGTATATATTTTATATATACTGAATATGAATGAGACATGTAAATATATTTTTACATTATGAGAATGGCTAAGTTAAAAAAAAGGTTTGTATTTGCTTGAAATTAAACAAATAAAAAATACCGTTCTTACTTTTGTATTTATTATTACTCTTATTATATATTTATCAGTTAGAGTTTTGAATGTTTAATGTATTGGATCATCTAACCAGTTCTTTCCCTACTGTATAGTGTACTTAGTGGTACAGTATAAGCAAAAATTATAATTATAATTAAAAAATTATTGAGGATACTACTCAACTCTTTAACATACCAAACCACTCAGCAATTCACAACTGTCGACCAATTCAGAGAGGTGGTGATACTGCTCTTTACTACCACTATGAACTGACATGCTTAAAAGTAATTAGAACTAGAAACTCATGTGGCGAGTATATCTTTGCCTGTTTCAGAGTTAAGAGTGGTGAGGGTGTCCTGATTGTGAGAGCAGTCTACAGAATTTTTAACTGATGTGTCTGAATTCAACTCTAACCTTAGAAATCTAATATTAGATAACAGACTGAACAAAAACCATCTAATATTTTCAGCGGACTTTAATATTGACCTCTGTGAGCCTGATAACCCTCCTGCTGCTAGTTTCCTCAACTGTATGAATTCCTGCTTCCTCATACCCTTAATCACTAGACCAACTAGAATCACTGATAGTAGTAAGCCTTTATAACACCCATTGTCCTATGCTAACGAAACAAGTCACAACTAAAAGGCTAAACAATCCATGGTTTACAAAGGGGATACTTAAATCTATTAATAAAAAACATGACCTTGAGAAGAAGTATAGGTTAGGAGTCGTCTCCAAAGAATTTTCAAAGATTTACTCATCAATGCTGTGTAAAATAATTAGGAGAGCCAAAATAAAATACTACGAAAATAAATTTATCCAAATTAAAGGCATCATTAAGAAAACACAGAGCACTATTTTCCAAATATTAGGATCAACAAAGATTTTGAATAAAAAACCAATACTCCTATCCAATGACGATAGCTATTGAATTCTATAGGTTCTTCTCATCCATTGGAACATCCCTTGCTAATGATATTCCATCCTCCCTAACTAATGTCAAGGACTACCTTACAGGTAATTATCCAGAGTCTCTGTACCTAACTCCTGCTAATTCCACTGATGTTAACGAGATATGGGCCCTGCTTGCCTCAGAAAGTGGGGG